AGCATTGATCAGACTGTCAAACCTCAGAGGGAAGGTAAAGGAGGGTGGGGGTAAGGAGGAGAGATCAACCAAAGGACTTGTTTGCATACATATAAGCCTAATCAGTGGTCAAGGACAACAGGCGGGTGGGACATGCATGGGGAAGGTTTGGGATGGGAATGGGGGGGATAAGGACAAATATGTGATATCTTAATAAAGAAATAAAACGAAAGAATCAATGGTAATTCATCCATAAAAATATATGTGTTGATTACATTTGGTCATTGAAATATACTAAGTAATGTTTATTTTTTTGTTTGTGTTTTAAGTTATATGTGCATATTTATAATAGTAAACACATTCTACTATTGTAATGAAAAAATATTACTCAAATAGTAAAATATGCAAAGAAAAATTCTAACATGATGCTTTGAACAAGTTAATTGTGGTTAGTCTTAGATGATGATGTGTCATACTATTTCTATTTTTTCAATAATGTATATGTATTCTGATCAGACCCCTGAGAGCTTGTTTATTTCTGTAGTTATTTATGGTAAGGAACTCCTTTCTTCTAGACAATAAGGGTGAGGCCTCATTTTCTAGGTCATTGACAGTTTTGAATCAGTAGAACTATGTAAGATTTTAAAGTCTAATTAAAACTCATTAATTTTCACCAACCTAAACATCTTATGTTCTTAACAACTTACATGGCTGCTTTGTTGGGGAATGTATGAAATTTTGTTTGGAAATAAAGGAAAAATGGTTGAATCCATTTTAAAATTAGTTATTTTCCAAATATCAAATATTGAGATTTAATCATTATAACATTTCTACTCATGTTCAAATGAGTAGAAAAAAATTCTAAACTACTTCTTTCCAAAGTACAATGAAATCTTGCATGTAATTTAAAATTGGAAGCAAAATCCCCTTCATTGAGTAAGAGTTATAGAGTTGCTAGATGGAGAATTATTTTATCTGCACAGAATGATAGAAGAAAGATAAAGTAGTGATCTTTTATAAATAGATAATTGGATGGCAAAACACCAGTGAATAACTTCAATTAACAACAGAGTTGTACAGTATGTAATCCATCATATGTAAAGGTGGTGCAAGTCCAAATATAAAAAAGCTAAAACTAATGGCCATCTGCAATTGTTTTGAGGCAACCAAGATAAGCTGTGGCTGCTAGCAATGGGCTTTTGATGTCTGTCATCGTTTGAACTAATACCCCTAGAGCGTGGCCTATTACATATAAAACAAAAAGATTGCGATAATATGAGGGATCCAGTGTAGATGGCTATTGAGGGAATATTTTGAGAGCATGAATGTATTTTTAATTTGTGCATTCCATGAGAGTGGCTCTAAGATACTTGATGTAGTCAAATGAAGGAACACTATTACAGAAAAGTTTGATATCCATCGTCTTCAATTCTATATTTCCCTTTATTTGTGTTTTAGTAATTGTTTTTGAGTAACTGTGGATACTCTGTAACATTTCTTTATATAATGTTTTTCTTTAGCCAATCGATTATGGCTTATTTTCAAAGGGTAAGGCTGTAACTTATTAGCTTGCTTTAAATGTGGTTGGCAATATAAGAAGTCATTGGCCAATTGGCATGAGTTTAAAAGTGGTTCTGGTATCAGTAGATGAGTGGATAAAAAGGCTGTGGTACATTTATACCATGGAATACTATGCAGCTGTAAAAAAGAAGAATATCTTACCTTTTGAGAAAGCATGGAGGGAACCTGGACAGTATTATGCTAAGCAAGATAAACCAGTGAGAGAAAGACAAGTATCACATGATCTCACTCATATGTGGAATCTAATGAACAAAATAAACTGATGAACAAAATAGATCCAGAGACATAGAAGCATAAGACTGTTGAATCTCAGAGGCCAGCTGGAGGTGGGTGGGTGAGAAGATGTCAACCAAAGAACTTATATGCATATATGCATAACCCATAAACTCAGACAAGAGTGTGATGAAAGCTTGGGGAAGCGGGTGAGGAGAGCAAGAAGGGGGTCAATGGGGAAAGAAAGAGGACATATATAATAGTTTTATCAACGAAGAAAAAAATGTGTGAATGGAGATTAAATATAAATATAGCCTAGGCTACATAAAATACAAAAAGGATTATTTAAACAAATGAATAAAAGTGGTTCTGGTAGTTACTTTTACAATTTTCAAAAACCAGTTTTGTTTTTTTCTGGAAGAATACAATGTTTTTAGTTATTCTTAGGCTGCAAGTAGAAAAAATAAAAGACAAGGAAGCACAATGAGGTACTAAAGATGGATAAGCAAGGTTCTGTCAGAACTCAGGTGTGATTATTGGAGCAGATGTATTTTTCTGAGGAAACAGCTCATCTTAGCTCAGAATATCAGTGTGCCGCATAGAAGCACCAGGAACAACTCCCTAATCACTGTCTCAGGATCCATGAACAGTAAATTTCTTGTTTTTCTTTAGTATCTGGTGAACTAGAAGCTTCCCAAACGGATAGAGAAGGAGAATCTGAAGAACTTACCTCTGGCCCACTACCCTGTGATGGACAAGGTAAGCATGACTTAAAGAAACAGAGTTCTGATAAAGAGAAAAAGACAAGAGAAGAAAAAAAGGAGACATAAAAGAAGAGTCAGATGTAGAGAGGATTAATGTTATATTTCAGAGAAAGATGTAACAAAACAGAAATTCACAAGGGTACCAAAAATAGAATCACTGGGGCATGTGAAAAGAGTCTTCATAGCTTACAATTTTGTTCCAGGAGCAGAGCTGCCAACACATGGAAATGAGAGGTGTTCCTGTGTTATGTGCTTCATAAATTATGATTTGGGTCCAGAATCAGAGCAGCCAGCACATAAAGATAGTAAGTGTTCCTGCATTGTGTGTCTCTAAAAATATGTGCCAGGAGGTCCAGAAGCAAGGGCCAAAGGTAGCTGAGGTAAGACACTACCCAGGGGTCATGGTGTGAGGGTGAATCCGTAGTTACTCAGGACCCCAGGCAGAGTGGAGCAGGTGGTCCAGTCCGTCCCACTCTCCTGTTCTCTGCATTTTCTTGACCTGACCCTTTAGGGAACAGCGGGGAGGCAAGATATAATTATAATGTCTTATTTAACAGGATGGGTCCTATTGATTATTATGGATGATGTAGTAAAAATACACTCTTAAAATGGCAATTATATAGTTTGGTATGTTAGCAATAATACCCTGAATTTATTCAGCTATTTCCACTGCTGTCACACCCAATATTCTGTGGAACCCAAAAATACAAGGTGTACTTCTGCTAGTAGATAATAGTGTCATTTTTTCCACAATCTTTTTTTTTTTCTCCCTCCCCCCCCCCCCCCCCCACAATCTTAGACTTCAAAGACAACTGATCCTGCCACAACTGATCCTGTCAGGAGGGAAAATGTCAAACCAACTTTGATTAACACAGCACATATTTTTTGTTGGTTGTCTCTGCATGTCCCCAATTTATACATTTTTTTCCTACAAACATTTGCACAAAATATGTTATTTGTTCCTCACAAAAATCTTAAGACCTAAATAGGATAGGACACCTGTTCTTATCCATGAGTGAACTGAAATTCATAGGTATTGAAGAGTTTTTTTGAGTCCCATTGAGTAAAAAAGAAGGAAGATCCCAGGCTCATCCTAGATTCTTACTTCTCAATTCGGGAGATATTTAGTTCCTTTGGAAGGAAGAGAAAAATGATAATCCAAACAACTTTATAAACTCAAGCCTTCTGTAGTATGGATCATCATAGGATTTGGTAACTTTTAGCTACTTATATCTGTTTTCTTACATCAATTTTTTCCAGATACTGTGGATCTTGGGAACAACTCTACTTTGAGAAAATTCAAGCGGAAAAGAAGTAAGAGCGCATAAGATTTTACTTGATATTGATATTAAATTGAGGTTATTAATGCCAGAGTTTCAATTATTATAATAGCCAGTGATAACATGATGATCCCTCAAACATGTACATTTCCTAATCTTTGGAACCTGAATTGTGGGGGTTTTTTTGTTTTTGTTTTTTTTTCATGGCAAGAGGGATTTTACAGATATAACAAAGCCAGAGACCTTTAAAGGAGTTTATTTTATTTTATTTATTTAAAAAAATATATATTTTATTGACTTTTTACAGAGAGGAAGGGAGAGAGAATTAGAAACATCGATGAGAGAGAAACATCGACCAGCTGCCTCCTGCACACCCCCAATGGGGGATGTGCCTGCCAGCGACCTTGACTGGAATCAAACCAAGGACCTTTCAGTCCGCAGGCTGAAGCTCTATCCACTGAGCCAAACCGGTTTTGTCAGGGAGTTTATTTTAGATATCTGTGTGTTACCAGTGTAATAAAAAATCAGTTTATTTCTGATACAGGTATGTAATCCTCCAGAGTTAGTTTTCCCAACATCGTTTATTGAGAAGGCTGTCTTTTCCCCACTATATATTCTTGCCTCTTTTGTCATAGATTAATTGATCATATAAGTATGGGTTTATTTCTACTTAAGCAATTTACAGATTCAGTGCAATCCATTTCAAAATATCAATGGCATATTTTATAGATCTAGAACAAATAATCTTAAAATTTATATAAAACCAGAAAAGACCCCGAATAGCCAAAGCAATCTTGAGAAAAAAGAAAACAAAGTTGGAGGTATAGAATACTACCTGATTTTAAACTATACTACCAAGCTATGGTAATCAAAACAGTATGGCAGTAGCATAAAAACAGACACATAGATCTGTGGGACATCAGAGAAATTTCAGAAATAAACCCATGCTTACCTGTGATTTATTTTTAACTGTCAAATAAAGGTAATTTCCTATAGTGTCCCAAGTCCACACACAGTAACTCCATAAACAACTTCATGCAGCCATACTGGTAATTAAGACTTTTGCTTCATGTTTATGGATCAAAGTTAAAAAAAAAAATACATGAACACTACTGACCTACAAGGCTTTGAGAATTATATTCATGGTTATGAATAATTAACTTTGTTCTTTTCTTTTTTGAAGGAAAAAAGAAAGGGTATTCCTGGACAAGAATGAAAAGGAAATGTTCAAGAAATATATATCAAAAAGGTAAGTGGGCAAAGTGAAGTAGTCACACCTTTGAGTTTACTGAGGCACTGCTTCTTGTATCCTTGTATCCTGCAATCTCCTAAGGGCTATGATACTTTTCCAGCTACTATATCAGGTAGGATATATACTAAGACACTGCAACAAAGAGGCCTAAAAATGCAGTGATTTCAACAAAACAGTTTATTTCTGATATAGGTATGTAATCCTCCAGAGCTAATTGATCTAGTGCTAATAGGGAGACATTGCCATCCTCACTTTGTGGTTTCTTTACTGGGTCAATACATTTTTATTAATTTAGAAAGCTTGTTCCAAAGAAGGCTGAGTATGAAAGCAGACTGTATGTATGTATGTATGTATGCATATACTATAAAAATATATACATATAAGCATAGAGATATGCAAATATGTTTTATATATGTATAAATGTTTTCTATAGAGAAACATTTATAGATATATAGAAAAGTCAATGGAAGTTTATGTATAAAAATATATGCAGCAGTTTTATTTGGTCATTAGTGATCTTTATATTTTTATTTGTGTTTTTAAAATGTATATGTGCATATTAACAATAGTAAACACATTCAACTTTTGTAATACAAAAGTATATTTCATTAGTAACATGTGAAAAGAGAAAAGCCTAGAGGATGTTTTTGAACAAGTTAATTGTGGCTTCTTTTAATTAGAATCCTGACATTTTATTTATTTTTATAGTGATTCAAGCAACTCTTTTCTCTGAAACAATGAGGTTGTGATCTCATTTTCTATATCATTGAAAATTCTGAATCAGTAGATCATAATAAGATTTCAGAGTCCAATGAAAAATTATCAATTTTCACCAATCTGCATATCTTATGTTTTTGACAATTTATTTGGCTGCCCTGTTAGTGAATTTGTATAATTTCTTTTGAGGAAAAAGAAAGTGGTTGCATCCATTTTAAGAATTGTTATTTTCAAAATATCAAATATTGGGAATTCATTATGATAACATTTTTATATGTATACAAATGGATTTTGATTATTTAAAACTATATGTATATAGTTTGATTTTGAACTGTTTCTTTCTACAGTACAATAGAATTTTATATGTTATTTAAAAGTTGTCCTTAAAAGTAGGGAATGTTCTGGACACCTTTTTGAGATCCTTTATTGTTAACGTGCTTTCTTGTCTTGAGTGTAGAGTGAAGGTGGTCTCACATGTCAGTTGCAATTTTGCCCAATTTGATGTTACCGCCTATTTCAGCAAAGCTGTTGGCCAGTTGGTCTTGAATAGAAAGAAGGTGAAAATGAATCTGCAGGATTCTGCCAAGATTTTGTCAAAAGATAAATTTTGTGCCATTTCCACTTTGCACTATGTATGGGTCAGTGCAAATTTTGCCTAGCTTTTGGGGATCATACAGTCTACTTAAATTTTTACTAGTCAAGCTTACCAGGCAATTTGAGAGCTATGAAATCTAGAAAGCCAATCTGTTTGGAGCTGTGGTTGTCAATTGTTTGCATTTATATCATAGCAAACAAATGCTACATTTCTTTTGAAAGAAGTTAAGCTGTGGTATTTGACTCTGTCCAAACCTATGATTTTTCCCCTCTGAATTTTATCTGCTTTTCATGGAAATTCCTTTATCTTACATAATTGGTTTATGAACGTGGCTAGACTTGGTAACTATAAACAGAAAGAAGGTTCATTTTCTTGTTGATCTTTCAAATCTACCCTCTAGATGAGTTCATTCACTCTTGGGCAGGCCTGGTAGCTTCTCTGTTCTCTTGTTCAGTAGTTGAGAGTCCTTCCTTGTTTAATATTAAAACTTCACTATTTTCTTTTATTCAAAGCACCTGGACAAGCCATGGACTGGGACACCTGCGGTGGTAAGGTGGAAATGTCCAGCTCTTCTCTCTCTCTCTCTCTCTCTCTCTCTCTCTCTCTCTCTCTCTCTCTCTCTCTCTCTCTCTCTCTCTCTCTCTCTCTCTCTCTCTCTCTCGGCTCTACACCCACTCAAGAGCTATTGATTTGGCTCCATCAGGATGGGGAGGTGGAAGGGCCAGGAGAGAGAAGAGTGTGGAAGTGTCTTATGTGATTGGGCACAGTTGTGAGATGACATTGGATATGAACAGTGCACAATCACTAGCTCTTTCCTCCACGAGATGCTCTAATCAACTCCATGGGGAAGGTAAGGGCAGAGTCAAATACCACAGCTTAACTTCTTTCAAAAGAAATGTAGCATTTCTTCTACTGGCTGGATATGATGACAGACCTAGAGCACTCTGTATTTTCTGGATCCTCCAAGGTTGTAATTAGAGGTTTGTGCCAGGCCTGGAGGGAAGTATAAGATGTGTGAATCTCTTCTAATTGGGCTGAGCATGGCCTTTCAGAAGAGAAGGCAGGAATGAGAGAGACAGAGATGTCCTGGCCTTTCAAAGTCCCTCACTACTTTGGCATATTAGGTGAAAGAGGAGGGGAGGAGAGCCTCTCAGAGAGCTGTGCCCTAAAGGTGGTTGACCTTTTCAATCCTATTGGGAAATTATAGGAATCAAGAGGCATTATAAGTGGTTGTTCAATTGGATAAATGCATTCAATTAATATATTGAAAATGTAGCAATAATACACTGGTAAATAACAGCCATTTTTACTATGCACTGTCATATCTATTAATGCTGAAGTATTTATATTCTATAGAGCATAGTGAGTGAACACAGTGTATCAACTATCTGTTGATAATATTGTCATTACTGCAAAACTTAGATAGTCTTCAAAGAATAATTTATGCTAACATTAATTATTAATGGAAAAATGTTTTAGACCAACTACTTTCAAACTTAAATGATACTTAAACTATTGACTTACTTTTTGATTTTTCACAGGGCTTTTGTGAATACAAGTTCATTTTGTTTTCACAAAAAAATTAACAGGGAAATAGTGTAAGTAGCTTATCCCAGCATTAATAGTGAAGGAAACTGAAGGTGTTAGAGGGTCGTTTATAAATGAGTTAGGCAGGAGCCCAGCATTATGGCCCAGAGCACAGAACTAGGTACAATTGAGGGAAACTGGAAAATGATAATCTCAACATTAAAATTATCACGAACTCTGCCTGTTGTGTGAGTTGTGATAAACTATGTAAGACTACTGACTGACCTTCTATTGCCTGGTGAGCCCACCTTCGAGAAGGAGGAAGGGAGAGGGAGCAGAAAAAAAATTAATATGCCTCTTCAAAAAACACATTTTCTCCTTTTTAGCAATTCTCCTTTGCTCATGGCTATTTATATACAAGTGCTCCACTTTCTTACACAAGTTTATCTCTGTCCACATTTTGTTTGAGCTGCTATTATCTTGTTACATAATAATAAGGTAACAATTAGCCAGTCTACAAATAGAAGAACATTCTCTGCTGCAACATCTTCCTAGTCAATCCTTAGTTACTGTTTGAAACTAAGGTTTTGTAAGACTCAATTCTATCCATTTCTATTGATTAGCCAATAATATCTTTGTTCAAAACAAGATGAACAAAGCCCTTGGTCGCATTTACTTCGCTTTTTTATCATGTTCTGCACAAATGTACAAATAGCTCTATTCTTACAGGTGAACAGATATGTGCTGTTCACCTGTAAGCGCACTACAGGTTTTTCCTTAGTGCACAGAATTTCTATTTTTTTTCTATCTCTCCACCAAAAAATTTCTAAATGTCTTCACTTAATTTTGCAGTTTTTGCCTCAATTTCCTCAGAATATTTTTAGTTTCTGTAATGGGAGTAATCATCACCTTAATATCATATATTTGTTGGAAAGACGAAATAAATTGGTAGATATATAATTGACATCTATTAAGCACTTAACACATGGCAATTTGAGTTATAAGTAAAATGATGATTTCAATTGTTTTACTAATTAGTGTTATGAAAAATAAAATAGAAGATGAACTTAAGAATAGCCATTTATTTCTTGGTAGTTTAAAAGCTAGGAATGATATATTTTTCTTCATGCATTAGATAGGCTTAAGGGAAATTACATTTAAATGGAAAATTTGAAAAGCTTTAATATCTGAAAAGAAACTACATGTCTGCAACTGTGATTATATTTTTTTCATTTTGTCAGGGAAAAGAGAGGCAGATCTAGAATTTACTTAATTCATAAGAACAGAGACCTAAAGAAGAGAGTCTAGTCAAAAGGCAGTGAAGGACTTTCAATAACTAAACATCTAATTTCCCGTGCTCTAGTCTGTGTTTTTAGTAATAAACCAATTTCCTAATTGCTTTGTGTAGCTTGACTAACTGTTGAGAAATCTTTATGATTTGGTCTGTTTCCAAAATGTGTCAGGTACAGAAAGCAGATAATTCCACACACCTATTACCTGGTGACAGATCTAAACCAGGCCCTGGGGTCCCGGATCCAATGCAGTGCGGCTGTTTCCACTGAACTAATAGCTTTCAAGCTGTTGCCATATAAAGGATATATAGAACTCACAAATTACTTAGCTGCTCTTCAACCAGAGTCACTGGTTGCAGGTGGCCCAAAGTAGTGGTCAGAAGTCCATGTTCTCTGCTTTGACTGTGCTTGTGCTGTCACTTGATCACTTTTCCTTCAGTTTCCTCATCTGTAAATCAAGAGAGTGAATTAGGCCAACCATCATTCTCGGTCCATCGTAGTTTTAATAGTCTGCCTATCTCAAAATTGGAACATGGATAAGTTACCCATGTTCCCATCAAGGCTCTACAATGCTGGCTGAAAGGGCAGGATTAACTACACACCCTTCTTGAGTTAGTTCATCTGAAAAACTTTCATTCTTCTGTGTAATCAGGTTTCTAGCCCCAATCCCCAAACAATTTTCAAATTATTATAGAGTTTCCTGAGCCCCTCTTTCATCTTTGGAGAAAGTTGACGTGAGGAAAAAATAAGGCAAAGCAGATAACACATATACTAGTACACATCATTTTCATCAAATTATCCCGTTATTATCCTCCCTGCTCACTGAGTCAGAGCTCAAACAGGGAGAGACAAAGTCTCTGACTTTGTCTTTAGCTACCTGACTACAACTGTATTTCTCATTGTAAGAATGCAAAGAATGTAAGAATCAGGGGGGCTGACTGGATTGGGAGTTATGAGAGTTTATTGAAACCCTATCTTTCTATTAAGGCATTCTGATTGTGTGGGGTTTGAGGGTAGAAGCAGACACTCTGAGGTTATGTATTAAAAATGCCACTTGAAAGACAGACTTTGACTCCAGAAATCTGTTGAATAGAGTTTTTGAAGTACCCCGATGTGTTTCTAGAAATAGCCATGGTCTCATTTGCAGCTCTTATGCGAAGAAATGACAAGAAGTCATAGAATTACCCATCATTCAAGGAATTGAGGATCCACTGTGGCTTGAGAGAAGGAGGAAGGAATTCCAAAGATTATATTTTCACACATTAAGAAACCATACATTTTAGATGTTCACTTCCACATGGCAGTGAGCACGGAAATGCCCAAAGAACCAAAGAGAAGTGAATCAGAAACAAAAGGCAAGAGGCTCTCGGCTTCCACATTCATATCCTTTCTTCCTTCTGGATCATAATCACAAGGGCAAGGTGTTTGATGTAGTGAGAAGATGACAGAATTTAGAGTCAGAAAACCTGAGTCCCATCAGCTATGCCAAGAGTGAATGATTCATCTAAATAGAGAAGGGGTCTTTTCTTGACCCTGAAATACTTCATCTAAAAATAGATGATCTGCTTCATGGTATAGCTTTAAGGAATTATTTCACATAATTGATTTATAATATTTAAATAGCTTTCCTGATATAATTCATAAATCATACAACTCACCACTTACAGTGTATGATTCATTATTAAGTTTTGTTTGTATATTCATAGTGTTGTGAATTTACAATCTAACTTTAGAACTTTTCTTGCTCCCTGCTAAAGAAAACCCCATGTCTCTCAGTAGTCAATGCCCATTTCCATCTCACCCCATCACCCAGCCATAAGCAATCACTAACCTCTTTTCTGCTCTGTAAATTGGCATATTCTAGGTATTTTATATAAATGGAATTAGATCATAGGAGCCCTGAAGTACCCGTATGTGTTTCTAGAAATAGCCTCAACATAGGATGAGGGGTATATGTGCAAGTGAAAATGATACAGAATGAAGAAATCTTCTGTTTCAGGGTCAAGAAGGCACAGGGGTAAGAGTGTGGATTTTTGCTCTGAAATACTTCCTGTGACCTGTGGTGCAGTGAAGGGGATGTTACATAAGAAGAAATTGAAACAAGGTAGGTTTCATGGTGATGAAACAAGGTTCATCCATGTAATAGCATGATGTTACAAGGTTCATCCATGTAATAGCATGAATAGTACTTTATTACTTTTTATTGTCAAATTATATGATATTGCATGGTATGACTACACCTTATTTTGTTTATCTCGCCATCAGTTTGAGTTATTTCTATTCTTTGGGATTATGTATAATGCTGTTTTAAAAATCTATGTGCAAGTTCTTGTTTTAACATGTTTCTAATTCTTTTGGGTATATACTCAGGAGGGAAATTATTGTTCATATACTAATTTTATATTTAACATATTGAGAAAACACTAAAATATTTTCTATAGTGGCTGCACTATTTTATATTCCCTTCAGCAAGGTATGAGGGCTCCAATTTCTCTCTTTGCCAACACTTGTAATTATCTGACTTTTAAAATATGACCCTCTTAGTGGACGTGAAGTGATATCTCATTGTGGATTTGATTTGCATTTCTCTAATGGCTAGTAATATTTAGCATATGATTATATTTTATATATAATTTAAAATTTCCATGGAATACATCACAATTATTTTTATTATCAGTTGTTTATGAATTCAAGTATGAAAAAACTCACTGCTCAATAAGAACATTAAACTGGATGCAGCATGTTGGAATAAAGGACACAGATGTTTCTGTGGTTTCATTCTGAGCTGCAGGGCCACCACCTGAGAACTCAGTCTACCCAGAGGTTCTGCCTCCACATTGACCCAGGGCCCATCAGAGAATCTGGCCTGTTCTCTATTCCCAAATTCAACAGCAAATTGAAATCTTCTCATTGTTCAGAATAAGAGGATTCTTGGAGGATTCCCTTATAGGTGATTTTGGAATCCTTTATTAACGTTGATTTTGATGGTAAGTTAAAAAAAATGTGTGCCCAAAGCAGGAAATCTCCTGGAACGGAACTTACAGGCTGGGGTTGGGAATTCGGAAGTCTGAGAGGGGAAGCCAGATTCTCCTGCTAGTGATCTTGAGCCCAAATTGGGTGACTCCATATCCAGTGTAGTGGGAGGTGAGTGTCTGAGTTATAAGGACAGAAGGCCCAGGATCAACTTATCCTGGTTTTATAGGATCCATCATGAAGTGCATACAGGGTGAAGATGGAAATTGGTTCACTCCCAGAGAATTTGAAGTCAAAGGAGGCCGTGCAGGATGGAAGAACTGGAAGAACAGCCTTCACTGTGATGGAAGAGCCCTAAAATGGTTGATGGAGGTATTCCAGTGACAGGAGCTTGGATGTGGTTTTCCTGGATGCACCCTAAGATCACTTTCCCCCCCACCAAATATATGTTAAATTATAGCTAATGCCCTAAGCCCTCCGATTTTATGCTTACACCACTCTCAAACCTTAGTACAAGGTTGTACATTGATTAGAGGCTCTTTTGGGGCAGATGCAGGATCCAGGAGGAGGGAAAAGTCATCCTTACTCAGGTGCTTGCAGACAACTTTAGGCACTGAAAGAAAGGAGACAGTCTATGGCCAAACAGGTGTGCAGAAGGCACTTCAGAGAAAGAATGACTAGTGTGGCTCTGTGGATTGAAATAGATGGATTGTGTGTGATATGGCATAGCCTATCAATTTATGGAGGGATTTCATGCCAGGCTAAGGAGTTCTAACTCATAGCATATACAATGCAGAACCAGGAGTCTCCTGAGGTATGAAATGACAGGTTTAAAAAACAGTATCTCAGACAACATGGGGCCTGGAAATGGCTTCATTGTTTTTCAGCCCAAGAAACCGATAATCAACCTACAATGTTCAACTCCGGTGTCACCCCTCTTTGAATATTCCCTGACTGACCTGCCTTGTCATCCCTTCCTTGGGCCTCCTGTCTCCACTGTTAAGGTCCTTCTCACACTATTTAATACTTATCATCCCAAGAATTCTCTTTATCTTTTTAGATCCCTCTAGGGTTTGTACATCTTTGTGTGTCCAACATTGTCCAGAGTGCCTGCCACCCTGTAGGTGTGGGATACATATCTATTGGTTGAATAGCCCTGATGTAAGAATGCAATTTTGAGTGGAACTTGTGGGAATAGAAGGGAAATAAAATATGTCAAAGAGATTGTGAAGGAAACATCTTAAAACATAGGGGATAAAGATCAAGGAAAAAGGTTCTAAAGATGATTTTTTTTCTGGGTACTTTTGATAAATTTTAGAAGAAGAACAGATGAGGAGAGGGAGATGGCGTATCATTTAGATACCTTGGTTTTGTCTGACAGTGGGATATCAAGGTAGAAATATTTGGGAGGAAGTTGGAAATGCCAGATTCATAAACCAGATCCACAGGCCATTAATATACTTGGATCTTTTTATTTTTCAGAAAGGATTTCTATGTAATCCCCCAATAATATACAGAGGGAGAAGAAAGGTAAGTGATTATATAACTTTATACAAATTTTCATTGCATAACTGATTTTACATACACGGTATGCTATTTTATGGTTTCTCAGTTGGATAATTATAATTAAGTATCCTTTATTTTTTGCATGTACCTTCAGAGTTCCTACTTTGGACATTATATTGTATGCAAGGTCTCTTTTGAATAGCAAATCATTTGAAATGGAGATGATAAGGAGGTATCAAAATAGATCTCATAGATGAGTCTTAGCCATAGATGCAGAAGCTATAAGGGTGTCAAAGTTGTAAAGACAATCATAATTATGAACTACATAAATGCATTTAATAACAAAGTCACAGGCTCACTTTCAACTCAAGCTTAGATTTTTAAAAATTAGGGTTACTATTTTCTAACTATATTAAAATCTAATGGTGCAAAAGTTTTCTCACCATCATCCCTATGACCCCCTGGTTTGAACATCTCCCCAAAATATATACACACACTTTGAATAATTATAAAGGCAGTGTTTACTAAAGTGCATTTCCTTTTCAAAATTGAGCTAACAGCTATTGAAGTATGTATACATTATTTTGGGACAACCTGTCATACTCCATTTTATGAGATAGGCAACTAAAAGCCTGTTCTTTTCTGATCCTTTACATCTTCTTCCATCTTCCAATAAAACATGCACAGAGGCACTCAGAATTCTTTTTCAGGGGGGAGTTATTTGCCCTTCATGAGGATAGTGCTTTTGGGGAAGAAGCTTTTGGAAGATCCATGACTATAGGAGGCCTGACCTGAAAAGTTGTGTACTTCGATGCTAACAAACAAATACATAATGCACAGTTCAGAATGAGAACAAAATGATGGGTTATCCAAGATTGGGTGTGAATGAGAACTTGAGGTAGAGAGGGAGAAAAGAAATACCATTCTTATATACTTCAGGTAGAAATGGCCATCCAAGACATTCTCAAATCCTAAGATAGGTCACACATAGCTGGCCAATGAGATTTATCTTTCACTGGGGATGTGAGGTCCAGGCCTTTATATTGTCTGATGATTTGAATGGTTTAAACTGTTAGTCCTTGGCACATTTTATTCACTGAATTTCATCTTTGGAAATTTACTAGATTTATTTAGTGAGTCAGTTAAAGATGAGCATCTGTACCATTCTTCAAGTCAAGATTTACTCAAGAAGAGCACCCAAATGAGCTGGCAACTTTCTTTCACCAGGGTTTATCCTCATTTATGAGTCAAACACTTTTCAGTAACAAGCTGCAGTTGTCTCTGTATTTTGTTTCTTGGTAAAAAATAGAAGCTCCCCAAACTGTCAAATCTCAGGACCAGTAACCACGACTGTAGGTTCTCCGTGTCTCTCAGAATCTCTCTTGCTAAGGAGCCCGTTGATTTCTGGAAACTTCAGTGTCACTTTTAGCACTACAAAACAGCTTCCCTGGCTCCTGAAGAGAGAGAGCCTCTAACATCTTTTGGTGACAATATTTTGTGAAATAACATACTCCTCAAGAAGAATTGCTTATTATATGCTAATATTTGTTTAAGAGAGAGCAAGTAATCTCTTTTTCTAAGTAAAACAATACTTATCCATTCACTTGTTTAACATAAAATTGTTAGTGGGCATTTAGTATGTCAAAGGCATACTAAATGCCCACTAGCCATTAAAGAAGATTCAAACAATAACCTTGACCTCAAGGATTGTTTCAACTCATTGTCTAACATGGAACTATAACTTCTAATATGGAATAAAAACTTCCATATTAGACAATATGGAAGGAATCTAGGCCACAAAGAGATGTGGGCAGTGACATGGCCACCTCTCAGGTGATTGTCCAGTGGATCACACTTGTCTAAGACCTCTATGCCCTGGGCTGGAGATAAAGGATGAGGCTACCTGAATCCAGAAAGGAAGGACATCAAGCCATTCCAAGGAATATGCCCAAGCAATGTAAGTCTGGTAGGTGGTAGCCAGTAACCTCTGAAATGTCACCAGCTGACATCTTGGGATTTGAATGGAGAGAAGAAGGTGACCTTTGGGAAGAAGAGCTGCAACACTGGGGCCTCTGAGCACATTTTTTTTTCTTTAAAGATACACCCTAGAAGAGTTTCAAAGGGTGGTGGAATTCTTCTGTGGGACATTTGCAATGGATTCCAGGAATCTGGGCTCTGAGGTTGCTGGAGGCTGTTAGCTTGATATTTTCATTGAAGCTACTCTGGTGAGGTTAGACTTATTAATATGGAGAAAAAGGCCTGCTGGTCTCTCAAAGTAGGAGAACCAAAAGAGCTCTTCCAATTTCACCTATGGAAACCAGGGCCAGACCACTACCCTAGCCAGAGGATGTAACTAGATTGGGTCAAATGGTGGTAATTTGGCACTTTTTATTCTCCTTGTAGATATATTTAAAAAATAATGGATACATTGTGAATTGGATCCCTCAAAAGATGGCTGTTTAAATAAGTTATGGATGCAAACATCACATTCAGCATTTTCACACAATCTTCCTTTCTTTGTAGCGGAGAACATCGCAGTCTCTTGACAATTCCTTAGTTGACCCATATGTAAGTACTAAATCCAACCTGTAACCCTGGAATAATGTAGGCCTTTTCCCTTGATATATTATCTCTGCCACTACTGACTTTCCTTGAAGCATGCTTATATTCAGTTGGAACATATCCCTGTCTGTGATGAGCAGAGAATAGCTAATGCATTACCCATACCAGGTAGATGGATCTGGAGTTGAGTGTCTCAGCATGAAAACATTCTTTCCATTTGTTTGGAGGAAACTTTTCTTATTAGCATTGGAGGTAGAGCTCTAGACCACTGGAGAAGGGATTTTAAGTGGAAATGGGCAGGGCTGGCCTGCAGATTAAGGGTAAGAGCAAATTTGAGATGGTAGCATTTTAAAGAAGGCAGGGGGAAGGGGAAAAAAAATCACAAATATTCACTCCATGGTGCAGGCAGAACTAAAATGGTTTCATGCATCAGACAGAAAGAAAAGGCCAGGCAAAGCTAGTGAGTTCAAGGTGTATATCCTGTCATGAGTCCTGCAGAAAAATGTACTCAGGGCAATTGGGTCCTTTACAGAGGCCCTGCATCCAACCTCAAGGGAGCCATCAAGGTGCTGAGCTGGTGTTTAGGAATAAAACCATCACCACTTAGTGAATCATGAGCATTTTTACTCAAACTGATACCATATGCCAACCTGTTTTAAGGTCTGCAAAATTATAGGTGATTCTGCTCCCTAAACTAACTGATACATTGATTTCTGTCATTTCAACAAGATCGGTATTTTAAGCACACTTGCCCTTGCAACTCAAGTGGGCAGCACTCCATAGGATACGATGCAGTAATATTGATATATGACATTCAACAGAGAAAGGATAGTCAAAAAAATTTCTATACACTTTACCTCCAAAGCAATACTCCAACAAGCTTTAGATCTTATGCACATTGATTTTGACCCTTGGCCCACTGAGAGGGTATTCAATCAGGTCAACAGTCCTGGAGTCCAGTGTTTTTGTGGCTTGTTTGGGATAAATGCAGACACAGAGGGCCAGGCTACATAGTTCATAGCCAAAAAAAAAAAAAAAAAAAAAAAAAGGAGAGGGCAAGAGTACCCTCACCCCTGTTAATATCTTTCATGGGATATACATTATAGGCAAACTCAACATTGACTTAAAATCTCCCCCTGCCTTAGTAACTAGACTCTGCTCAGGCTAAATCTCCAGGCTGCACACTGGAATCATCTGAAGACCTGGATTTCCCCCATAGGAAATCTGATGTAATTAATCCAACTCATAGCATAATTAATCTATGCTATGAGTTGGAAATTAGGATTAAGTTCCAAATGAGACAGATACACAAAATTATCCATTTTATGACTCAAAGAAGAATACCAATGCCTGTGCCCCACTCAGACCAATTGATTCATAATCTCTGGTGTTGGGAACAGGACATCTTATGTAGTCTCATTAGAAGATTCTCTTGTGTAGCTGGGCAAAGAACCAGAGAGACGCACCTTGAAAGAAGATTGTAAATGCAAGATTCTTAAACATTGCTTATGTTTATCATTTCCTTGTTCTTTCGAAGAGAGGGGTCTTCACTTTTGGAGAATAATGTTGGTAATCTGTGAGTGTCCGCACAGATAAGAAGAAAAATGGTTCAGGCCTCCCTGCTAGAGCATTTCAGTGCTCACTGGAAATATGTGTCAGGACTCCCACCCCCTCTGGAACACTTAATGGGAGCTCTTGGCAAGATACTCCTTGGGGCTAGCACTTCCGCATATATAGCCATCTTTAAAAACAAAAGAAATGGCCATGATCCCAATTCAGCCAACACAAATATTTTCACCCTGAAACCTAGGAAACAAGTCAAAATAATTGTGAATTGGTGTCTTTTCATCTTTGATTACTTTCTGCATTAGGAAATTTTTTCCAAAGGACCCTTTTGCCTTGAGTACATTTTTCTGCAGGACTCATAACAGGATGTCCACCTTATCAAATTCTCAATATATTATCCTTTTCCATTGTCTAATATATTATGTCATTGTTGTGTTGGCAAACAGACTTAACAGTATTTCAGGAACTTGTTTTGTCTGCATGGTAATAAAATTATTCAGATCCCATAAATCATCCTAGTGTTTTGTTGCCTGTGTTTCTGTATTAGAATTTCTGATTTTATAGGAAACACTTTTCTGGTCTGGCACACAGATCCTTCCTCCTGAACTTTACTGCAGTTTACAGTTCTTTTTTTCTGAAACCGCCACTCCATGCTGTTCTTCACAACTCTGGGAGAAGCACATAAGAGTCTGTGCAGATTCACACTAAGGCAATGAGTGCTAGATACCTACAGTGCTTGTCTTCAGGGTCTCACTGGAGATATGAACATTGTTTTACCTTCTAGCTAGGAAATTCAGACGTATGTGAGATCTGCCGGTATGGAGGAAAGCTATTCTGCTGTGATACTTGTTCAAGATCCTTTCATGAAGACTGTCACCTCCCACCTGTGGACATTGAGAGGTTTGTGAGATGCAGCCCCATCTCCCTTTAGGGATCCTTCCTCCTGCCATGCGCAACCCCCCAGCATAGTTCTTCCTTGTGTTCTGATGGGAAACGAGCAGGGTCAGCGGTACAGGATCCCGCATTATGATCCTGGGAACTGTTTAAAGATTCTGTCAACTACCGTGTTTCCCCGAAAATAAGACCTAGCGCATGGAAAGATTAGACATCCCCTGAAAATAAGACCTAGTGCAACTTTGGGAGAAAAATTTAATATAAGACACTGTCTTATTTTCGGGGAAACAGGGTAGAGGCTAATGTTCCCCTCTCTTTTCCGAGAAGCTGAGGCTAGTGGCTGGGTCTTTGCCTAAATACTGCCAATTGTCTTCACCAGAACTTTTTCAGCATGAAATACTGACTTATGGGAGTGGAAATGCCAGCTGTTTGTGTTTTGTGCTTTTTTAGAAAAATCAGGAAACATGGACAGGTTCCCTCATTTCACCACTTTTTCAACTGGCTGATGAAGGCCTGAGGCCCCATGGATTAAGGCCCGGTCTCCGATATTTGGGCTTGATAGGCAGAACTCTTTGTGCTCCAGCAGATCAGATGGGGAAAGAGAGCTCACCACTCATCCTGACTCCACCCACTTATCCCTTGCTGCTACCCTTGATTGGAGGAAGGTTACTGGCTCACACCACACCTAGGGGGTCTTGGAGTATCCCTTCACCTGCTGGCTGTGTCCATTGGTCATTCCTGAAAGGAGGAACAGGGCAGCTGTAGGAATGGTGACTGTTTCTGAGATCTTGCCTTGCTCACTTATGCCCAACCTCTCAGGAGCCCGTGGAGTTGCATCTTCTGCAGGATAAAGGAGTACTCAAGAACTCAGCAGTCTCTCAGGGAATCTGAGGTCCTGGCAAGGCAGATGGGTCCTGAGGAGCAGCTGGTGAGTCAGATTTAAAACTCACAAACTTTCCTTTCTGCTCACATGTGAGAAGTCAAGAGTCATTGGGTGATGGGTGGGGTGCCAAAGGGTGTCTGCTATTCTGACTGTGCCTCTCACCAGGACTTGTTTGCAAAAAGTAATGATTTAGCCATTGCATGATTCTTGTAGAGCAATAGTTGTTTGAGGAAATTTCCAGAAAACCCTTAAGCAATCTTATAACCATTGTTTTGAACTCTGTCTAGTAGTATGCTTGCTTCCATTTCATTTAGTTATTTTTTTCTGGAGATTTCTTTGTTCTTTTATTTGTGACATGTCTCTTTGTCTCTACATTTTGGCTGCTTTGCTATGCTTGTTTCTATGTATTAGGTATAGCTGCTTGTCTCCTGGAATTGATAAAGTAGCCTTCTGTAGTAGGTTTCCTGTAGGACCCAGTGGCTAAGCCTCCCCAGTCACTTGAGCTGGGCACTCTAGGTGCATCCATGTGTGGGCTATGTGCACCGTCTTGCTGTAGTTGAGCCTTAATTGCTGTTGACATCACAAGGAGGAGTTGACATCTAGGCCAATAGGCTATGAGGCCCAGCTGTGACTACAGTGGAAGAGCTGCTATGCAGGAGATACCCATATGGAGCAGGACTTGCTTCATTGGGACTTTACATTCTTGAGTGTGTTGCTTATGGATGTGTAAAGTTGTAATCCAGCCTGTTAAAATGTGTCTACTGGGTGCACTGGCTCTGGGTCCTCTCGGGAGGTGTAAAGTCAGCCACTGCCTATGGCTACCTGGCAGGAACTACAGAGTAATCTGCAGATGTCTGTAGCTTGTGTTGTGCTTGGAAATGCTCAGACAAAACCAAGCTGTCTAGGTCCTCTTATTGATAGGTATGGGGCATACTGATGCTAGTACTGTGTTTTTGTTTTGTTTTTTTGATAAATTTTAGCAAAATCTGAAGCCTTAACTAAGGAAGGCCATTCTTATGAACAAGCTGCTGCAAATAGCTTGAGTGGGGCTGCAAATTGAATGGGGCAGGGTCTCAGGAATCAACAGGGTGGAACAAACAATATGAGCCAGGTTGATGAATAATCAGATATGGCTGCCTGGCAGTTCTTTAATGGGAGAGGTCTCAGCATAGGAACAATGACTCCAGTGTCAGACAAACCGGTTCTTCCCATATGACCCTGTGCTTAAAGGGAATGAGTCCAAGTAAGTTCATGCCCTGGTTCTTTAAGAGGAGCTGCCTGAGTATCCAGTAGCCCCTGTGTTACTCAGCCATAATCTCCAGTTGTTTTTAAACCTGAAGTTATGGAAACTTCTCTTCCCGGCACTGGAATCCTGGTGTGGGGCTGGGACCCCTTGCTCCTCACAGAATACCTCTGCCACTGAGATATTTCTCCTGATTAAAAACATACGCCACATATGGGTGTTGGACCATCCAGTTTTATGCTTCTACCCCTTTTATCAGTCTAAACGTGCTTCCTTCTTTATTTCTCTAGTTGTAGGACTTCCATTCAGGCAGCTTCAAGTGGTTCTGAATGGTGGTTGTTCTGTGTCATAGTTGTAATTTTGATGTGGTTGTGGGAGGTGGTAAATATCAGAGTTTACTTATGCTGCCATCTTGGTTCTCTCTCTCCAAGCTGCTTTTCATTCACATCTTCCTTCTTTTGTAGAAATGTGAGTTCCTCCTCTTGAAAGTCTATTGCGATTCAGAGAGCACATTTTTTTCGAAGATTCCATATTATTATTATGTAAGTAACAACAACAAAAAATTATGATTATAGGCTTCACTGGTGTTACCTGACCTTGACATGGGCTCTTGTGGGATTTATGCTATGAAGCCCACAGGAGGGATATTGTGAGCTGCCATTATCTTTTCCTGGTATTTCTGCTGGACTTTAAGGGAATCCACAGAAGGCAGATATTGAATTGTGTCAGTAATTGTCTCAATGATTTCCCCCCACTAGATTAAAGAGACTTCTCAACATCTAAAGGAACCCATGTGGTTGGACAAGATCAAGAAGAGGCTAAGTAAGCTGGGTTACCCCCAAGTGGAAGGGTTTGTGAAGGACATGCGCCTCATCTTTCAGAACCACAGGGCATCTTACAAGGTAAGTGGTTCTCCCTGCTTCCATTTCCTTTTTTTTTCAGTTGAGTCACTCTGCCCTCATTTCCTGGCGCTGGGGAATTTTAGAGTATCCCTTACCTTTTATGATGAACTTATATAAGCAAGGGTTCAGGAAGTGAGTGGGTTTTCAAATTGAGGATCTAAGCTCATCAGGGATAGTAACAGTGAGTCAGGAGGTGTTCCTGCAAGCAAACTGCAGGTCCCTGAGAGCTCATCCTCCTCAGAAAAGGCAACAGTGAGAAGAGTCTCTTCCTCCCTGTTCCAAACCCAAGGAGAAGAAGATTGAATCCTAAAGTCATGTTGTTCTTATCTCTCTCAAATATACTCAACCAAACCTCTCAGAAATCTCAAATTCCAGAGTCATTTACATATGAATGGACCATATAGTTAACAGGGATCACCAGAGGGGAATAGAAGTGACAATATGAAAGGAAGATTGTACTTAGACATCTGTAATATTTGATTGTTATAAAGAACATAGATTATTCAACAACTCAAACTAATAAGTGAGAGTCCCCACATGTGATCATGATTTCCCATTTCTGTCTAGTTAACAAGAATTAATGATGCACTTAGGACACAAAATTAACACAGGAGTTTTTTTATTTTAACCTGGTTAATGTAACTTGGGTGTTTAAGAAAGTTATTCTTGAATACAATGTTTCTAAACATTGGTAATGAGTGGCATTACTTTTGTTGTTATTTATCTTTTTTTCTAGTACAATGACTTTGGCCTAATGGGACTTAGACTGGAGGCAGAATTTGAGAAGAATTTCAAGGAAGTGTTTGCTATTCAGGAAACAAATGAGAACAGTTCACCAGTGGATACTGTTGGGACCCTGGAAAATCCCCTCATCCTGTAAGTGCCATGAAGGTTGGCTGCCAATCCATCTCTCCTCAGAGTAATATTAGATTGAGTCCAATCAATTGAGCCAGCATTGCATGGAGGTTATATTTGTGGAAGAGGAGTGCCTGAAGTGCCATGAGGAAAAGACTTTCCTGAGGCCCCCATGGGAGGATGGGGTTTCATGAAAAACTTTTTTGATGATATAAAATTAAGGGGGTTTCCCTCCAAGGTCCCATCTTCACCTGTCTCACCATGCAAGAATCCAATCTTGCCTTCAGTATGGCTAGAATGAAGGCCAGTGCCCATAATTTCTGTTTCATATTAAAATACAGGCTAGTCCATTCCAGCATCTGGGTAGCTTTGCTTGTGTTCTCAGCTTCAATCCAGGGGTCTTCATGGTCCATCGCCATGTGGCTGCTTAAGGCCACTTGGCTATGGAGAGAAAACAGACAGTTGCACTGGCAAGTGTGGGACAAGAAGCAAGAGAGAACCAGAGTAAATAAGAGGGAAGGAACTGCCTGGGGATTATACCCTTTAAAGATTTTATGCACTTGCTGAAGCCGGTTTGGCTCAGTGGTAGAGCATTGGTCTGCGAACTGAAAGGTCCCAGGTTCAATTCCGGTCAAGGGCATGTACATTGGTTGCAGGCATATCCCCGGTAGGGGGTGTGCAAGAGGCAGCCTGGTCGATGTTTCTCTCTCATCAATGTTTCTAGCTCTCTATCCCTCTCCCTTCTTCTCTGTAAAAAATCAATAAAATATATTTTTTAAAAATTTGTGCACTTGTCGTGGCTCCACCCTTGCAGCCAATGATCTTTTTCCTGGTCTAGCTGGCAGGCAAGCACTTTCCCTATATCATCCTGACTTCACTGTGCATGTACTCATCTCCCCCATTGTTCTATCTATTCCTCAGGTAATCTGAAGGGAATGAACTGGTGGTTTCTGGGGAGCATGAAGCTATCGCTTCCTAGTGAAGCTGCCCAGATAACCATGCTTATAATGCCTGTCCTCTCCTTAGCTCTTTTCCTATCCTATCTAATAAAAGAGTAATATGCAGATTGACCATCACTCCAACACACAAGATGGCTGCCCCCATGTGGTCAAAGATTCTGGCCTCATGTGGACAGAAGATGGCCACCACAAGATGGCCAACAGAGGAAAGAAGTTGGGGGGACCAGGCCTGCAAGGGAGGGCAGTTAAAGGTGTCCAGGCCAGTAAAAGAGGGAAGTTGGGGGTGACCAGTCCTGTAGGGAAGGACAGTTGAGGGGGACCTGACCTGCAGGGAGAACAGTTAGGGGTGACCAGGCCTGAAGGGGAGGGCAGTTAGGGGCAAACAGGCTGGCAGGGGAGCAGTTAGACATCAATCAGGAAGGCAGGGGAATGATTAGGGGGTGATCAGGCTAGCAGGCAGAAGAGATTTGGGGCAATCAGGAAGTCAGGCACGCAACCAGTTAGGAGCAAGCAGTCCTGTATTGTGAAAGGGATCCCAGATTGAAGGACATGCAGGTTGGGCTGAGTGACACCTCCCTCCTGTGCACAAATTTTGTGCACTGAGCCTCTAGTTATTAATATTCACAAACTAGCTAATTGCAACAATAACAGTTACACCTACTTGGCTTTGGGTCTAGCTTCAATGAGTGGCATGATTCATGCTCCCCACTAGGATAAGGTTAGAGCTATTCCAAGCTGTGATCACATCCTTGCTTAGCTTTCCAATCAGGCAATCCTGTTTCCCTCTCCACTTCTCCATCTGATAGAATTATCACAATATATCATTTATTTAAGGAACTTTATCTCAGGTTCTGCTTCTAGAGAACTTAACATAATAGTCCAAACAAGAAGGCCTTAAGAATAGGGTTTTTGTGTTGGATCACTGTCTAGCCAGAGGGTAGCAGGAAGAATATTGATAGTTTCTGTAATAGTGTCATTGACAAAACTTTTATCTGTAAGAAACTGGATGATATAGAGGGGAAGTGGTATGCCATCTGGTACAGGCCTCTGGCATTTATAATACTAAGTGTAAGAAAGACTTAAATGTAAGACTGGAAATAAAAAGACAAAAATTTTTTAAGACTCCATAGAGAGCAAAATAGCAGACATATGTCACAGCAATATCTTTACAGACACAGCTCCTAGGGCAATGGAAACTAAGGAGAAAATAAACAAATGGGACTACATCGAAATAAAAAGCTCCTGTACAACAAAAGAAACCATCAACAAAACAATGAGAAAGCCCACTGCATGGGAGAACATATTTGCCAATGATATTTCAGATAAGGGTTTAATCTTCAAAATTTATAGAGAACTTGTACAACATAACAAAAGGAAGATAAATGATCAAAGGATCTAAATAGACACTTTTCAAAAGAGGACATACAAAAGGTCCAGAGACATATGAAATATGCTCAAAGTCACTAATCATCCAAGAGATGCAAATCAAAACAACAATGTGGTACCATCTCACACCTGTCAGAATGGCTATCATCAACAAATCAATAAACAACAAGTGCTGACAAGGATGTGGAGAAAAAGGAACCCTCCTGCACTGCTGGTGGGAATGCAGACTGGTGCAGCCACTGTGGAAGACAGTATGGAGTTTCCTCAAAAAGTTAAAAATGGAACTCCCATTTGACCCAGTAATCCCACTTTTAGAAATATATCCCAAGAACCCAGAAACACCAATTTGAAAGGATATATGCACCGCTATGTTCATAGCAGCACAAATTAAAATAGCTAAGATTTGGAAACAGCCTAAGTGCCCAACAGCACATGAGTGAATAAAAAAAAACTATGGTACATCTACACAATCGAATACTATACCCCTATTAAAAAGAAGGAATGCTTGCCATTTGCAATAGTATGGATGGAACTGGAGAGCATTATGCTAAGCAAAATAAGCCAGTTGGAGGAAGATAAATATCACATATCACTCATATATGGGATATAATGATCAACATAATTTGATGAACAAGAATAGATCCAGAGACAAATGATAGACGAAGGGGGGCTAGAGAGCAACCAAAGAACTTGTATTAGCATAACCAATAGACACAGACACTGGGGTGGTGGGGGCTTTCCAGGGTGGTAATGGCTGGGGGGGATATCAGTTGGGGGAAAAGAAGACATGTAAAACTTTAGACAATAAAAAATAAAGTTTAATTTAAAAAATAACTATAAGAAGTGTGTATTTTTGTATGGCCAGTGTTGCTCAGTGGTTGAGCATTGAACCACAAACCAGTAGGTCATAGTTTGATTACTGGTCAGGTGCATGCCCAAGTTGCAGGCTGGATTCCCAGACGGGGGTGTGCAGGAGGAAGCCAATTGATGATTCTCTCTCACCATTGATATTTCTACATCTTTATCTTCCTTTCTTTTCTTCGGAAATCAATAAAAATATTAAAAAGAAAAGAACTGTGGATTTTGGTGCCTAAGAGAGATGAATGTATTGAAAAGAGTACATGATAGGCTTAAATCCATTAGTCTCCACCTAAAACAAAGAGATCCTCATACATGCAGTTGGAAGGCAATAGTTCTAGGCCTAAAACAGGCCCTAATTTTAAGAATGATAGAACTTCACAAAAGACTGAATTCTAAGCCCAATTGGCCCTCTATTTCTGTCAGGGCCCTGACATAGGAGTGAAGCCCTGAAGCTCAGAATGGGGATTTCTAAGAAGTTATACATGAGAGCTCCAAACTGCACTCACATGCAGAAGAGTCCCCTGCCCTTTGTTGTAAGACAGACCCCTACCCAGCCTCCCTTCTTGCTTGAATAGAGAATATGCAGAGTCCTCACAACATGACCCAATAGGCAAGATCTAGGCGGGACAGCTAGGCAAGGAGAAGGCTATAGATCCTTTTTGTAAAAATTAGATTTATTAGGGTAACATTGGTTAACATGAACACATAGGTTTCAGGTGTGGGTTTCTATGTTACAAATCTTATTTTGTACCATGTCCCGGGCACCCAAAGTCAAATCTTCTGTCACCATATATTAGGACCCCCTCTCCTCCCACCCTCTTCCCTCTGGCAACCACTACATTGCAGTTTGTGTTCATAAGTTTCAGTTTTATATCCCACATATGAGTGAAATTATACAGTTCTTAGCTTTTGCTGACTAACTTATTTCATTTAACATAATATTTTCAAGGTCTATCCATGTTGTTGCAAATGGCACAATTTCATTCTTTCTTATGGCAGAGTAGTATTCCATTGTGTATATGTACCATATCTTCTTTATGCAGTCCTCTATCACAGGACATTTTGGTTGTTTCCATGTCTTGGCTTCCATGAATAATGCTGTAATGAACATAGGGGTGTATATAACTTTGTGAATACAAGATTTTGAGGTTTTACAGGTATATACCCAAGAAAGGGATTGCTGGATCATATGGTAGCTCTATTTTCAATTTTTTGAGGAATCTCAAGTCTACATTCCTACCAGCAGTGAATGAGGGTTCCTTTTCCCCCATCACCTCTCCAACATTTATTTTGCTTGTTTTACTGATAATGGCCACTCTAACAGGTGTGAGGTGGTAGCTCATTATAGTTTTGATTAATGTTTCCCAACTATTCTTCTAATTTCTTAACAAACTTTATCAAAGTCCATCTCCTCAAAGAGAGCCTGGCTTCCTTGGCTGGCTCAAGGGTCAATATCATGATGAACAATGCTTCCACTGGTGCACACCACAGGAAGAAGTCATCTGCTAAAAGAAAACTGGGTTCTGCTAGGGAAGGTGAGGAGGCTGGTGGGCCAAGGAAAATATGACTGATCTACAGAACCTATTCAGAGGACCTCCAGAGGTGGGCCCAGAAGCCTAACAGGAAGGATGGGGCAGTCTCAGGCCAGTCAGAGGGCCACAGAGCTTGGGGATTCCTTAACGAAACTGTGGTCCTGTTGTCCTGTGCTACAGAGATAAAGGCTGAGTTGGTCATTATGCTAGTAGGTAGGGTTTCCATCCCACTCCACTAGATGGCTTAGGGCATGGAAAGCCACTAAGCCTGTCATTTCCTCATTCCC